GTAGTGTTGGCTAAGCCCCACAGGTGAGATTCAAAGCTTTGTCCTGAATATTCAAGAGAGTGCCCCATGCCCTTCTCCAGAAAAGGAAATTCAGTAACCTCTCTTGGGAAAAACATTCTGAATGTCTCCCTCCTTTCTCTGCAGGAGTGGGAGCTTATGGGCGTGGAATATGGCATACAGTGACAGATTCAGTTGAAGTATCTGTTTTGCTGATCTGCCTTTTCCTCCCCCTCTTGCTTTTTAAATTTTTGTTGAAAGAGATGGCTCAAAGGGTAGGGGAGTGGGAAATAAAGGTGATGTAACAATAAGAGATCGGTAATATTTTAAATTTTTTGGATATTGAACCATTTTCACCAGCCATAACTGACGAGTTGTTTTCATTGTTTTGCAGGTTGATATTTTATTGTATTGATATTTTCCTGCCCTTGCAGTTCTGTTTGTTTCAATTATAACCCTAACCCCAAATGTTAGCAGTCTGCAGTTATCTGTACCCTCTGCCCCTCCTCCAGTGATCCCACCCAGACCAATTGCAGCTTCCTTCCCTCCAGATCCCCAGCTCCCCTTCCAGAGAGCCCTGGCTAGCTAATGCTTCCCTGAGACAAAGAGCCAGCTAACGGGGAGAGCAGGTGGGGGTCTCCAGTGCTACCCAGCCAGGAAAGGTTGCTGTAGTAACCAGCCCTAGCCTCCATTCAGCAAGTGAGAACAACTCCAAGATTCCAAATTATCTCTTTCACTTGTTGACCTGGGCTCACAAAGGAACCGGGAGACCTGTAGTGTGTGTGGGGGCAGGGGGGGGGGCAGAGGGGAGATTCTGTCAGTTACAACCCTCCACCTTGCAGAGAAAATAGAGATGGGGAGAAAAGAAATCCTTGTATTTTCTAGGCTTGCGTGAACTATAGTTTTCAAAAATATCCACCCCTAATTTATCGCTGGTCCATTTTATTGGGGGAGGGGGGAAAGGAAGTGAGAACCTCCTCTGTTCAGCAGCCTTGAGACAATTGGCTGGAGTGGGGGTGGAGAGAAGAGAGCCCAAATGGCCCTAACTTTACGAGGGCCTTTTAACACAGGTTACCCTTTCTCCCTCCTTTATTAAGAACAGCTAACAGTGAGCATTTGCTACCAATTCATTGGAAACTTTTTCACAGCTTGAGCTACTTAAAGACAGCCTGGCTTCTTCTCTCCACCCCACCCCCCCCACCAAAAAAGAAAAAAAAACCCACCGATAAAGTGTATGTAGGGGGGAATGCTGGCTTAATGGGCTGGGTGCTCAATTATGCTCAACAAGTCTGGCTCACACTGTGACCCTGTGTGGCTTCCTGCTATTCAGATGTGTTACTTCCCCTTTGGGGTAATGGCTTATGGCACAGGGCCAGAAAACATTATTAATTTCAGAAGGCAACTGACGAAACAACCAACCCACAGTCAGAGGAGAGGAAGTGCTGGGGAGGCCATCTGTTGGCTCTGGTGGGGCAGTAGGAACTCAATCTATGTGGGTTCTAGAAGGAAAGGAGATTGATAATCCACAAAGAGGAAGCTGGCTAAATTTATCCACAGACCATATTAAAAAAGGCAGAGAGGAGAAGAGATGGAGAAGAGGGAGAGAAAAGAAGAGAAGAGAGGGAAGAGGAGAGAAAGGAGAGGAGAAAGAGAAAAGGGAATAGAGAAGGGGGAGAGAGGAAAAAGAGGACAGCAGAAGAGGAGGGAGGGAGAGGAGAAGGGGGAAGGAAGGGGAAAGTGAGGGAGGAGAAAGAGGGAGAGAGGAGAGTGAGGCAAGAGGAAGAGAAAAGAGGAGGGAAAGAGGGAGTGATAGGAGAGAGATGACAGGGGAAGAGGAGTGACAGGAAAGAAGATGATAAATAGAGGAAAGAGGAAGAGAGTAGAGGTGGGAAGGAGAGGAAAGGAAGGAAGGGGGAGAGGAGAGATGAAAGGGGTATTAAGAGAGACAGAAAAAGAAGATAGAGGAAAGAGGAAGAGAGTGGGGGAAAGAAAAAAGGAAGGAAGGGGGAGAGAAGAGAGATGAAAGGAGGAAAGAGGAGAGACAGGAAAGAGAAGGGAAAGAGAGTAGAAGGGGAAGGGAGAGACAGAGAAGGAGAGAGATGAAAGAAGAAGACGAGAGAGGCAAGAGGGAGAGAAACAAGATGAGAATAAAGTGAGAGGGGGAGGAGAGAGGGAAGAGGGAAAAGAGAGAGGAGAGAAAGAAGGAAGAAGGGGAGAAGAAAAAAGGGAAGGAAGGAGAGAGGGGAGAAGGGGGGGAGGAGAGGAGGGAGAAGAAAGAGCCCAACTACTCGAGCTGCAGCTGGACAGGATATTGCCAGAGCTGTTTGCAGATTTCCACTTTGAACAGGCCCAGTTTAGGGAATGCCAGGAGCGGAAACTGTTCAAAACTGGATTAACACAAGCCAAGTTTAACTGCATCCTACTTCTCCCCAGCTCATGCGCTGGGGGCCCAGAGACACTGACCCAGAATGAGAGGCCATTGTTTTCCTTTCAGACATATTTTAGTAGCTTAGAAGGGCCTTTTGATGGACCCAAATTTCATAATATTTCTGGCTTTCTCCAAATGTTCTGACCTCTTGATATTACATATGACACTGAGATTATGGAATCATAGGTTTCTGAGCTGAGGGGACTCTTAGAAACATCTAGGCATTAGATTGTTTACGTTACAGGAGGGATCCGGCGAAAGAAAAAAAGCATTCTGGAGTCAGAGGACCTGGGTTCAAATTCCACTTTTAATCTCCTTGGACCTCAGATCCTCATCTGTAAAATGAGGAAGGCTGGACTAAATGACCTCTAAGGTAGGTCTGACCCTTTCGCCTCTTTGATAATAGATGAGGTAAGTCATCTAAGGGCACACCATAATATCACCTAGCAGTCAGGATTTGAACCCAGATCCACTGAGTTCAAATTCAGTAGGATGAAAGGGCCAAATTTTTAAGAGGAAGGAGTGGGGACCTGTGCCCCATGCCTAAAAAGTTAGGAGTAGCTCAGCTCTATGACACATCCCGCCTCTCCTGTGGGAGGTTTATCCTGGGGTGAGGGGTGGGGGTAGAAAAGGGGAGAATGTTGAGATTGGCCCTTCTCTTCATTGGGCAGCTTAATTCCTGTTCCTGAGACAAGGAAATCTGTGCAAAGGAAGGTCAGCTGGTTTTTGCCAGGTCACAGAATTCATCGGTCCTTTGTGACGTCGGGAGGCATCTCTTCACAGAGAAAAAGCAAAATAAACCCTCCCTAGAAGCAAAGGAAAGGATGGGCTCCTGGGAAAAGTCACCGGATGCCAGGCCTTGAACTTGAAGGAATTAGTTCAAAGCTTAGCTGCAGGGGTTTTGGGGCTGACTTCTGGCCAAGCTCAGACACAAAGCCCACCAGGCTGACCCGCAGAAGCAATCTCTGAATGCAGCAGCCCCAGGCTGCAAAGGGTCTAGGCAGCCCTGACCTCTGGCCAGAGCAGCTTTCCATTCTTCCTCACAGAGGATGCTGGCAGGAGGAGAAGGGGAAGCTGGCACTGTGGCTGTCCTGTTCTGTGAATAAACAGAGGAAGTCCCAGGCTATCATTTTTGGCACCTCTCCTACAGCTATTCACTATTATACAATCCTTGATATTTTGGCAAGGTGTGTTAAGGGCAATTATTGCCATTATTATTCATTTTTTTCTGGAGGAGACTGGGGTGCAGGCCTGAGATTTTCCTTCATACTCAGAATGCAGTCTCAGGAAATGGACAGAAGTAGAATTTCTACTTATCTTCAGAAGCAGGTGGCATAGACTTGATGCTGGACTTTTGGGTTCAAATCCCACTACTTTGCTTGGCCTCCCTTTCTTCATTTGCAAAATAAAATGGAGGCTGAGGGTGGATTAAGTGAACAGAAGTTCTTTCCACCTGGGGGAGGGGGTGGTGATCTACAGATAAAGATCTGTGATCTCCAATAAGATAAAGAGCTTTGCAAACCTTTAATGCTATGTAAAAATGAGTGGATAGAGTGCTGGGCCTGGAGTCAGGAAGAGTCCTCTTCCTGAACTCAAATCCAACCTCAGACACTTACTAGCTGTGTGACCCTGGACAAGTCACTTCACCCAGCTTGTCTCAGTTTGGGAAACCACTCAGTATATCTGCCAAGAAAACTCCAAACAGGATCACAAAGAGTAAGACAACAGAATGATAAATCTCAATGGTCTTGAATTTTAATCCTGATGACCTAGGACAAGTAACTTATACTCTAGTTTCCTGAACTGTAAAATGAGGTTAACAGGACCTACCTCAAAGAATTGTTGAGGACCAGGAGATAACAGCTTTGCTAAAAGCTGGCAAACCTTAAAGCCTTATGTAAATGCTGTTATCAGGCAGCTAGCTGGATAGAGAGGAAGGCATGAGTTCAAATTCTGCCTCAGACACTTACTGGCTGTGACAGTAAGCAAGGCCTCATTTTCCTCATCTGTAAAATGGAGGTAATAATAGCACTATCTCCCAGGGTTGTGAGGATCAAATGAAGTATTTGTGAGGTGTCTGAAACAGGCTCTGGCACACAGTAGGTGCTATATAAATGTTTGTTTTCTCCCTATTATTACTGTTGTGAAAACCAAATATGAAATAACATCTGCGAAGCAATCTGCAAACTCTAAAGGACCACATAAATACCAGCTTGTGTAGTATCTAGCTGTAAATATCATTGAAGCTTTCCTATAACCCTGTAGAGTGCTAGAGGTATCACTCCCATTTTATAGATAAAGAAACTGAGGTTCAGTACCATGTTAATATTGGTCAGAAACTTGTTGCCATTCAGTGCCCCATACATTTGACAGCTTTACAGCAGTGCATAAGTTAGTTGATTATCTTATCTCTAGGATCAGCAGTTGGAAAATAAAGTAATTTTGAAAACCTAATTCTACTTCCTTTCCTATGGTGCCTTGCAACCTTTAAGAAATGTTGACCCCTAAAATGTATCACCCTCTTGCATGATAGAAGTTGGTGAAGGGAGAAGGGGAGGGGAAAAAAAAAATCAGATTCTCAATAACCAAAATAGTTATTTATTAATAACTTAAGATAACATTCTCATAAAATTCCAGCTTAAAATTTTACAACACAAACATAATCGAGCAAAGTTAACTCTCCCTTCTTGGCAAACTGTGCCACTCACCTCTCAAACACAGGGGTACCCACGCTCACACACACTTCCAGTTTTTGTATTTTTTATTTTTTACAAAAAAAAAGAAAACAAACCAAAATATTGCATTTTGAGGTGACTCTCCCTGAAGAATTTTGTACAGAGGTATGCACTGTTGAACACAGCTGAAAGTAAAAAATAAAATAAAATAAAAAGTGAACACAGATTTTCCTTGTGTGTCTTTAAAAGAAAAACCCCTCCATGAGAACACAGGCCAATATATTTACAAAAGGTAAGGCATAGTCAAACTACATCAACTGGGGGGAAATCACAAGGAAAAGATATATGTCAGATGATAAAGGATTGCACCAGTCACATAATGTGAGGGGCAACATTCTGTCTTTGAATTTCAACCCAGGAGTCTGCCAGAGCTGAAACAACAATTGTTTGTTTTGTAAGCATGCTGCAAAATGTACCCTTTGGATTAGAAATTAAAAAAAAAAGATAAATGATTTTGTAATGGAGTGACACTCTGATTCTTCTCTCCCTTTGGATGATTTCTTTTAGGCTAATCAAAGGGGAGAAAAAAAACTCACAAGAACAACTGTCATCGTCAACTTGATTTAAAAGTGAAATATTTACAACAATCAAACATCAGAGTTCTTTGCAAACAGGTAGGTAACTCCAGATTCAGAGCTGACACCTCTCTTTGGCTCCTCTAATTCAAAAATGAACCAGTCTTCACTGAAGACAAATATGTAGTATAATTCCAAATGCAAAAAAGGAAAACATCCAGCCAATCCTTAAGGAATATGGGTTCCTACCCTTTAGTCCTACCCTATGCACTTGGAAGTCCTCAAGTCTCCTGCCTCCGCATAGGTAGGCTTGTACACACAGGGGCCCAGAACCCTGCCAGGAGCTATGTACACAGCATCTCATGTTCCTCCACAGAGAATACAACACTTTTCTCCCTTTTTGCAATAACCAATTCCAAACATGGTAACCTTGTCTAACAACCCCGACAGCTTGTGATCATTTTGACACTGTGGGCCACAAAGAAAAACCTGCCCTAGATGACTAGGACCTCTCCCCAGCAAAGGAAGAGAACAGGGCCAGGTTTCACGTGGACTGCAGAGAATCCACTTGAAACACATTCTGGTTGGATGGAGTGGTGAAATAAAGCTGTTGGGCCGGTACCCGATTGTCACAGGGGCTGCTCAGCCCCAGAGTCCTCTCAAAGTCCAGCAGCTGGCCCATGAAGTTGAAGTTTGGGGAAATATTGGACTTCTTCATCTTGACGATGTCATAGGCGTCATTCATGGACAGGTTAAGCTTCTGCATGAGGTAAGCCACAGTCACTGTGACTGAGCGGCTGATTCCGGCTAAACAATGCACCAAGACGCCACAATTTTTTCCTCGGGCTTCATCTGGGAACACACAGAAGACAGAAAAAGACACAGTGAGCAGAAACCCGGAATCAGCCTCAACAGAGAACTGTATTTTTTAATTCATCAAAAATTAATTGTCCGTGGCAGGCCAGCCCTGCAGACAGGAGAAGCTATATCATTCAGATAAACTGTCTCTGCTGGAGCACAATTACATATTTTAGATGTTTGCTAAAAAGGGAGCCATTGTATGGAGTTCCTGCCAACAAAAAACTCCCTTAATGTGTACATTCTTTGCCTCAGCATGTGAATACCAGAAACACTGCAATATGGCCGGGAAAGCCTTTTATACAGACAAGCAGACTGCAAAGGTCTATTAAATTATTCTCCAACTGTTGTGGAGCTAACAATGGAGGTATTCAGGCATTTTAAAAGAAAGAGGGAAGTCACTGGGGACAGCCCATTAGGAGGAACAGGATGTCAACACTGCTTGAAAATGAGTTCCTTTGTCATAGGAAATGCATTACAATGGCTGGGGATTAGTTTCTCGGTGGCTTCCAGCCCACATTTCTTCCAGCAGCGCTCAGATTACCTATACTCTTCACTATAACCCGTATCACTGTATCATTCAACTAGATTACAACATTTAGCATTCACACAGCTTTCCAACAATTAACAGGCTGTCCTAAAATAACTTCCAGGTCTTTAAAAAAAAAAAGCCTGCAGCAAGATGTGAGAATTCCTGCCTCCAGAGCTTTCTATCCTTTGCTTCAACTGGGAATCACTGTGTGTGGGAGGGAAAAATTCTGTGGTCTGATTATCACTAGTCCAATCGTTCACATGGTCTGCTTTCAGTGCCTGGCACACAGTAAGCGCTTAATAAATGCTTGCTAAATGACATTTCATAAGCAAACAGTCTTTGAGGCCGTTTTTAAAAAGGCACATTTTTTCCCCTTTTTCAGCCGAAACCAATTTTAAGAGGGGGGAAAATACCCTACAAGTGCCCTACAAACCATTCTGAGACAGATATTTCCATCAAATTAGCATCAGTGACAGTGATTAAAGGTTAACTCGCTAGAAAAGCTGGTAGTTGTTTTAGCATTTAAAAGTCATTTGAACTTATTACTAATTAGTCTCACCTATAAAAGAAATGGCCTCCGGGAAAAACTGAGACAAGTTTTGGCTCCAGTGATCTGAGATTGGAATCTGTTTATACTTAAACTCTCCGGCATTCTCGAAGAGATTAGGCAGGTTAGGAGTTACATTCAAGATGTATTTGATGCCAAATTCTTCTAAAACGTCCAGGTTGGTGGAATCCTTTGCACACCCCAGGTAGAGAAAGGGAAGAATTTCCACGGGGAAGGAAGGTTGACTGTTGGACAAAGGGCTGCCATCCGAGTCAGTGGCACTGTTAGGGTCTCGGTCAATGTCAGATTCAATATCCGATGAGGAATCGGAACTGATCCGGAGACCTCCCAGTCCTAGGACTGGCAGGGGAGGCGAGCTGCTGCTGCTACCAGAGCCGTCTAAATTGGTCTCACAATGCAGAGCGAACTCAGCTTGGAACTTACTGAACCCACCTGCCAAGAAAAGGAAAGAAATAATGTAACCTGAGATGATTCAGTAGTAGTTTTCGCTGCGTGTGTGTTAAAGGGGCGCTTTGGGCACAGACAGAACCAAATAAGCAATTCCATACACAGGCACAAAATAATCCCAATTATTTTTTAAAATGGGCAGCGCTATAATCGATGCCACCAACTCTCAGCTTCTAAAACGCAACACTCGCAAAATGCACCCAACCTAACAACTTTCCAGTTTCAAGGAGGAAAAATAAAAACCAATCAGGGTGCAATTTAACCCCCACCCGCCATTCCCCGACAGTGTTGTGCTTCCTAATTGCCTCTTTTTAAGGCAGGGGAGGAGTGCTGCAGGGCAGTAAAGCACATCTGACTCTAAGAAGCGCCCCCCCCAAAAAATAATAAATGTGCAATCCGCAGGCCGGAAGCATCAGCGCCTTCTTGGTCCCAGGCCCTGCCACCCGGGATCGGTCTTGCCCAACTACCCCGGTATTTACCGCACGTGTCACTCCTCTCCTACCTTGAGAACCAGGACAATGGTACCAGGCAAAAACTGCAACCCAGGAGTCTTTCCGGTCGTCCCCTTCTTCCCCCCGGGGCCTTGATCTTCCACCCGCAATATCTCCCTAGACCACCCCCCTCCCTCATCTCCCTATCCCCAGAGTCGCAAGAACTGGGAAAAGCGGTCCAACCAGTCCTTACCTTCCAGGTAAAATGCCCTGCAGCCTTCGTCCTTGAGCCTCGTGAGCAGAAGTCCCAGCACCGACTCTCCCCCCTTGTTCTCGTTCCATTCGCTGCTGTTCTCGTCGTACAGGACCACCGTGTCCGTCCCACAGCGCCGCGTGAAGCGGTCGCGGTCTTCTCCGCGGGGAGAAGAGCGAACGCACCGGCAGGTTGCCCTTCTGTAGCCGCCGCAGCATGATGCCCGGAATGGCCACGTTGATGGCCGACTCGATGTGGGACGACTCGTACAACTCCTGCGGCCGGCAGTCCAGCAGCAGCAGCCGGTCGCTGCCCAGCTCCAGCTGCTCGTTCAGCCACGCCACCGTCTTACTAATCGCCATTTCCGACACGAAAGGCACGGGTCTGAACGTATCTATCATGAGGATAAGCGGAGGGCCAGGGAGCGGTGCCTAACAGATGCTTCCCGCTGCAGGCATATGCTAGAAGGCGACTCCCCTACCCGGGGCTTACCCCAAAAGCAGAAACTCCTAATAGCACCGAAGAATGGAATTTGGATAATGAAACAGACTTGCAACCTCTATCTCCAGAGTTGAGAGATTTGAGAGGAAAGGGAAAGTAAACCCTTGCGTTTTCTGAAGCATAGGCTTGCAACACCTCGGACGGCGGTTCAGTCTCGGGTCTCCCTGTCAATGGATCTCTGAATGAAGCGTCGTAATCGCCCCAGTCCAGACCTCTTTCTTTTCTCCCCGAGTGAATGAAATCCAATTAGTTTGGGGCCCTGGGATCCGGCTCCGGTGCTACCGCAAAAAAGTCCATTTGCTCTTAATCTCTCCTGGGTACATACCACAGTCAACCCGACAGTCTTCTCATAATATGATTCAGTTCTTTATCTGAGCAATGTCCCTTTGACTAGGGCTCGCACACCCCCTGCGCGAGGCAGCTCCTCAATGGATACAAACATGGAACGTCTCAATGGATACATTCTCTCCGCCAGCCAATGAGCGGCCGCGGAAGGGGCTGTTGCCGTGGGGACGGGCCGGCTGGAACAGGTTGTGTTGATGAATTGTTAATGAGTTTGTCATTCACAAAAACGGAAAGGAATTTCCGCTCCGGATAAAGCCGAGAGCAAACAAGCAGCCTCTGCGGCTCAGCGGGAGGAAGGAGAAAGAGGAGGAGGAGGAGGAGGAGGAGGCGGCGGCGGGAGGGGGAGAGAGGGGGAGGAAGAAGGGGGAGGAAGGAGGGAGGAGGGAGGGAGGAGGAGCAGCAGGGTACCTAAAGCAGGGCACTTCTGTGTCTCGTTTCCTTCCCCTAAAGTTCACACATAGCAGCAGAACTTCTGCACACAAATGGTCCAATTATCAGACACAAAAGCCCCCCAGCCACCTTAAAAAAAATTGTTCTGACTTTTTTTCCTCCTCCAACTCATTTGCACCTGAGGTTCCTTTTTAAGGCCGTTTCCCCCATTGAAGAGGGGGGGGGGAGATGTGTGTGCGGTATTTGATGTTTGAGAGCAAAGCTCTGGTGTTCATTTAGTTGGCGCTTTGTTTGGACTGGCGCTGCTCGGACTGGTGGAGTGTCGAATACTGCAACCAAGGTCTCCGGAAACAAAAGGAGATTTTGTTGAAACAGGATTATGTTGTTGTTGAAGCAAGCAAACGCTGGTGCAGAAAATCAGCTTCATTTTAAAGCTAATTTTCAAAATCCAAAGAGAATGTGTAAGTAGAAGCCCTGTGGAAGATGGCTCCCCCCCCCGAATTTTAAAAAGCAAACTCAAAGTCCTTTTTTCAGATGGAACGTGTATTTTTTTTTTAGTTAGATACTTCTCTCCCCTTCCCCCCCCAACTCCGTGCTGGTGGCATTAAGGTTTACTGCCCATTGTTAGAATGAACTGAAGTCATTCATTCCCCCCCACCCCGCCTTTCCACCACCATCCCCACCCCCCCTGCAGTCTCCACCCCCCCGACCGCTACCCAGGGTCACTCTCGTTAATCATTTCTATACTGAAAATCACTGAAGCGGGAGCAAGGCTTCTAACAAAGGTGCAGACGAGTTGACAGGGGGCTGTCTGGGCCGCGGCCCCTTAAACAAGGCCCCGGCAGCAGCACATCTTGCTATAGAACATGCAACCTCGACCCCCACCCCCTCCAGCCTGAGGAGAAATAAACCAAAAGGGAAATTCTTTAGCAGGGACTGCAGGTTTTCTTTTGGAGGGGACTGGGAAACCTGCTACAATTTTAATCACCCGGGTGTGGGGAGTGGGGGCTCAGAGAAGCGGTGTCTCCATTGGCTACTGTAGCTGGAGGGAGTCGTGACAGAAGGAAAGCCCCTCCTCCGCCCACCCGGCTTTCACTGCCCGCCCCCCACCGCCCTTTCTCTCTTCCCTTCTCCTTCGGAGCTAGGATCCCCAGCGCCTGCGCAGAACTTTCCCCCTTCCTCCTCCCAGCAGAGGGGATAGAATGTTACGTAACTTAGTAGACAGGTGCTTGGAGCAAAGGGCGGGATTTTCTTCCAGGGCTGGGGGTAGGGAAGGGTCGAGGGCTACCGGGTGAGGGGGTGTCCTATAGCTGGAGTGGCCGATTTTTTGCCAGGCCCGCAGGAGGAGAGAAAAGAGCCTCTAGAAATGCCTTCTTTGGGTTGCATACCAAGCAGGTAACTAAAGTGAGCTACCTTTCCTCCGCCCCCCACGTCCAATGATCCTGCAACCTGGGGCTTGGCAGAGACTGGCTGGGAGCAGGACTGGGGACCGAGCGCCTCTTCCTCACTCTTTCTTCCCTTCGGGGGTACATTCCAGGGGATCACCACGTGCTTCTTTAAAAGTAGCCGGGGCCCGCCCCATTTCTGAGCGCACCACCTGTGTGCTAGTGCTGGCTCGGCAGGGGCCCGTGAGGTTGGAGGGCTTGGTTCAGAAGGCTTAACTCCCCCATTCGAAAAATAAAAGCACCCATTCCAAACTAAAAGGGGAAAGAACGGTAAAGCCAGCCAGCAGTTATTAAGCGCCTACTCGGTGCTAGGCACTGGGAAGACAGAGAGGCAGAAACGTAGCCCCTGCCTTCGAGGAGCGCCTTCAAATAAGGATAGGGGGGTGGGGAGAGAACCTGCCCACCAGTTTGTATATATCAGATATAGACAGTAGATGGAGGGAAATCTGAGAGGGCAAGGAATAGCGGCGGGGGAGGTGCGGTTTTGGAGGCGAGGGAGCCGAACCGAGGGGCCAGGAAAGGTTTACGGCAGGATGTGAGCAACTGAGGCTTGAAGGAATTCGGTAAATCTTCATTTTAAAACAGGAAGAATGTAGAGGTCCACCTAGCCCATCTCCTCATTTTACAGATGATGAAACTGATGAGGCCCAGGGAGATTAATTTGTAAACTCCTTAACATAGGACTTATTTTATTCCTTTTGTACCCCAGTTGCCCTGGTGCATAGTAGGCGTCTAATAAATGCTTAATTTGATAGCCTCGGGCAATAACTAATAGAGCCGACATTCGAACTTAGTTCCTTCGTTGTCCAATGAAGAGGAAGGAGAAGGGGTTTGGTGCACTTGCCTGTGGAAAAACTACCTGGGTGCTTTATTTCCAGTAACAGGCCTCTTATTCCTCGTTTTACTTATTGCAGGTTTGGAGCGGGGTGGGGGGGGGAGAAGGAAATCGCAGAGGTTCCCCCCAATGCCATTTTTGGCTTTTTCCTTTAGGCAAGCTGCCCCTAAAAGGAACTCGCGCACCTAGGTGGTAATCGCAACTGTTTCGAATTATTCCTTTTTGGGTAGACTGGAAAAAAGCTCCTTCTCCCGCCCGGAGCTGAAACCATCTCCCTCCTGGAGCTGCAAACAGCAGTACGTTCCACTAAAATCATCTTCCAAATACCCCTGCTTATCTGAACCGGCTCGCCTATTATCACGTGATCCTAGGCACGCTGTTTGGCTCTTGGACGTCAGTTTCTTCACCTGTGAAATGAAACGTTTGTTTCTTGATCTCTTAAGGTCTCTTAATGCTCCAACAGCCTGTGATTCATAACTATACAATAGAATCTTTAATTCCATAGAGGAAGGAGATTTGGTATTTACTCATCCATTAACAATACCTGTCCAGAGATGGAAGGAGGTTTATATTTACATTTAATTACACATGGACCATTAAAAAAAAAACAACCAACAACAAACACCAAAAATATGAGTCTATTCACCTTTTCCCTCAGCCCTCCACAATCAGACTCTAACCTGTTATCTCAAAACATTGCCCATCACATCCTCCACCTTTAGCCAGATAATAACTCCAGTTTCCAAATCGATTTAAGGCTTGATCGGCCCTATATCACACTTCTTCTCCTCCCATACTGTAGCTCTGGTCAAATAATAAAAATGAGTCACATTTCTATGTGTTAAGGTTTTCAAAGCTTTATTCACAACAACCCTGTGACTTATGTAGGAAAGATATAAGCAAAACTGAACTGTATGACAGGTCCCAGAATAGAAGCAGCTAGGTGGTTTAGTGCTGCATCTGAGGGAGGGGTGGGGGTCAGGATGACCCATCTCCCATCAGTCAGTCAAGCATTTATTAAGCATACAGTGAGCCAGCCATTGTTAAACCTTGGGCATACAAAAACAAAAGTGACAGTCTCTGCCCCCCAACCCTTCTAAAAAGGGAAACAGCATGTATTTATGCGTGTATGTGGACAGACATTGGACTAGGTGGTGCAATGGATAGAGTGCCAGACCTGGAGTTAGGAAGACTTCTCTTCCTGAGTTCAAATCTGGCCTCAGACACTTACTAGCTGTGTGACCCTGGGCAAGTCACTTCACCCTGTTTGCCTCAGTTTCCTTATCTGTCAAATGAGCTTAATAATAGCACCTATATTCTAAGATTGTTGTGATGCCTCACCATAGAAGATGTTGTGTCAAATGCCTAACTATATAAATACTAGCTCTTATTATTATAAAGATTTGTTGAATGAACAAATGAGTTAGTGAATGACAATGATGAAGAGCTTACCATGTTATCTACCCCACTTTTCCTCTGGCACTAAATAAATCCCAACCTTCTCTCTAAGACTCTACTTTTCAACACAAGGTTTTGGTTTTCCCCTATTCTATTTTTTACTGATTTTGCAACACCCTTTCCCTACCCCACACCCCACTTCTGCTCCAAATCTGTGGCTTTGTGACTTCCTCCAACATGCCTCAGCAGCTCCCAAGTAGGATTCAGAGAAGACAGATGGTAGAGGTTACCAGGGGTTGAGGCTTATTGGGTTGAGAACTGTGGAAGAACCATTGCACAAGGAAGTCAACGATGAAAAAGTAAAGTGCATCTCTAAAATCGATAACTATGGATTCAAGACCATAATTGTTGCAAACTTGGAGGTCGGGGTAGTATGGCTTAGTCAACAAAACCTTGGTTCCAGTCCCCCCTCAGTTATACCACTGGTCAAGTAATCCTGGGGAAGTCACCCAACCTCAGTATCCTCTGGCAGCTCTCCAAGCCTGTAGAGTGAAGACCTGCATGGCTAAGGGGAGCTTCTTTATCCAGAAGTTCGTTATTTAATAATGAGATCTAGCAATTATTTAACACTTTAATCTATGCAACACACTTGCAGTCTCAGCCCAGGGCTTTTTCACTATCTTTATGGTACAAAACCTTTAACATACATTATCTCACTTGACCCTCAACAACTCTGTAAGGGTTGGGGGTTTAGTACAAAGATGAGCCCCATTTTGAGGAAGAGGAAACAGGTGCCTGGAGGTTAAAACCCTTGCTAGTCCAGTCAGAATTTAAACCAGAGTGACTTAGAACAATGTTATTTCCAACAATGCCTAGTACCGTGCTTGGCACATAATAATAATGGGTAAGCAGCCAGTCAGTAGTATTTATTAAAAGATGGCTCTGTGAATAGAGTGCTGGGCCTTGGAGTCAGGAAGACATGAATTCAAATCCAGCCTCAGACACGTACTAACTGTGTGACCCTGGGCAAGTCACTTAACCCTGTTTGCCTAATCCACTAAGAAATGACAGACCATGCAAGTATCTTTTCCAAAGGCAGTCTCGAAGAGCTGGATGCAACTGAATGACCAAACACCAAATGTACCAATGACTCTGGCCT